TATGAATTAAATATGATTCACATGGGATTTACATGTGATTTATATATGATGACATATGTAAATGTGATTCATATGTGAATCGCATGTGATTCATATGTTAATCACATGAAAATCACATATGTATTTTTGTGAGTGTTTTTGCATCAATCATTTTTTTTTTAAATTTTCTTGTAGATTTGGAAGAAATTTTGATGAATATTGAAGATGTGAAAAATGATAAATTAAAGAAAATAAGGAAATATTGACACGAAGACATGAAAACACTTTGAAATTTGTAGCATTTTTTATTTTTTATATTTTATTTTGTATCGAATAAAATAATTGTGATATTATGTTTATAGATTAATTAATAAAAATGAGATTTTTTATGATTTACTTACGAATTTTATAGTATCAGAAATATGCATATATGCATTTGAAAAAATATGCATATATGCACCTAAAACTTTGATTTTTATTGTTAAAAAAACAAGAGTATTTTTTTTAAATATTCTAGTTCTTTTTTTTTTTAATTTATTGATTTTCAAAAATTTACTTTTTAAAAAAAGTACAGTTTTTTTGAAAAATTGTAGTTTTTTTTAAATACAGTTTTTTTTTTTGAAAAAAATGCAGCTTTCTTTAAAAACCTTGCAGTTTTTTTGAAAAAAATTACAATTTTTTTATATAAAAATGAAGTTTTTTTTAAAAAAAGTGCATTTTTTTTCAAAAATTGCAGTTTTTTTGAAAACATTGTAGTTTTTTTTTTAAAAATTGCAGTTTTTTTGAAAAAAAATACAATTTTTTTTTTAAAAAATGCAGTTTTTTTGAAAAAAATACGGTTTTTTAAAAAAAATTGCAGTTTTTTGAAAAAAAATATTTTTTTTCAATTTTTTTTCATAAATTCATGTTTTTTATAAAAAATTAAAAAATCTGCACTTTTTTTAAAAAAATCAATAAATTCAATTTTTAAAAAAATCCGAAAATTTGATTTATTATGTAACTTTTTAAACATTTATATTAATATGATCAATAACACAAAAAATTAAACATTAAATGAGATTGGTAAGATGACGATCATGACCTTAATGAATTAATTTTGATCCAACGCTCCACTTTTAGTTGTCGGCTTCTCGGAAAACTATGAGTTTTCAACCGATCTCACCACTATGAATATATATATATCCTACCGTTCGGTTCGGTTTTATACGGCTAGAAAATTTTGAAACCGCAAGCCAAACCGTTCACTACGGTTTCGAAAATTTAAAGTTGTAACCCAAACCGTAAAGAAAAATACAAACCGCGAAACCAAACCGATGTCCAGTTTCATGGTTTTGAACCAAACCATGAACACCCTAGATAGAGCTGCAATGAATATTCAAGAACTTGAAGATGAACTTAAGGGATTAGAGAACATGAAGACGAACCCCCTCTTAAAGAAGAGTTTGACCGGTGAGTGTGTGTGTGTGTGAGAGAGAGAGAGAGAGAGAGACGTGTCATTTCCCTTATAAGAAACAAATAAATGATTAGACCAATTAAATGAGCTGACATAAAGGGTAACCGGGTTACCCCTTTGTTTTGTCAAAATAGTCCAATTAGACCTGACACAAACAATTTTATTCCCTCATAAAGCACACAAACAGGAGTGGAGCTAGGATTTTATATTAAAGGGGGCTTGCGTCTTAACAATTAACTGAAATCGGACAAATGGGTTCAAATACATAGGGGCACTTTACGTTAAACGCATTAAAACTAGTTTTGATCATATAAAAGGTATCGGCGAATCGAAAATTCATGCACACGTATATCGAACCTAATTAACTAGCGTTAGTTTGTATCTTCATATACGTATATCCAAGATTTTAAATTATACACAAAATTGTTTTTTATTTTTTGGTCTTGTGAGGTTCATTATTTCATATATTGAAGATTTTAAATTATACACAAAATTGTTTTTATTTTTATGTCAGATTTAAACCCAAAAGAAACATTCCTTGTGAAATAATGATAATGATGTCACTTGTATAATTAAAATTAGCACATACAATCAGCCCCAAAATTAATAAAGATATAGTTATAGACATATAAAAAACTAATAGAGTAGCCCTCAAATTAGTAAAAGTAAATTTCATAAACGTATAAGAAGCTAATAAACTAAAATATTCTAACCTTCAAAAAATCAATAAAGTTCAATAGAATTAATTATGTGTATTTTATCATTTTATCTGAATGAGTGGCAAATAAACTAATAATATAAATGATTTTCAACCACATATAGACAAAAGTAAATAAACTATGTTAAGAAGAATAAAGACAAAATTGCAAAAATATGCTCAAGTAAAAAAGACACATCTTGAATAAATATACTATGTAAGTACTTATGTTAGAGAGAGAGAGAGAGAGAGAGAGAGAGAGAGAGAGAGAGAGAGAGAGAGAGAGAGAGAGAGAGAGAGAGAGAGAGAGAGAGAGAGAGAGAGAGAGAGAGAGTCACAAGAGAAAAAGTAAGCCTAGCCTGAAAATTTATGTAATACACAACAAGAGGCAGAGATGCAGAGGTCACCGGCGACGGAGAGGGCAATCGAGGACCGACAGAGCTTGATCCATAGTCAGGCTGACGGAGGCAAGAGGCATAGCCGACTCTGTTACAGTTTTCACTCGGACATTCAGAGAGTCAACAATGGGCTGTCAAGCGAAGAAGGGGGTGAATCGGACTGGGGAGTGACGACGGAGACGAAAGGTTTTTCGATTTTTAGTTTTTTTACTGATTTTGGGTTTGGGGGTTTTAAACCTTTTTAGAAGTTAGATGTTTCAAAATTTTCAATGTTCCTTTCAAAAGTCAAAATACGATTATTCCCTCTATTTTGTGAATTCGATTCCCTATATCTTTGTAAATTCCACATAATTAGTAATTGCTATTACCATTTTTTTTCCTGATTTCTTTTCTCCTTTATATTTTGGAAGTAAAGGAGTTTCCTGATTTGATTTCCTTGAAATATATAAAGCTTTATTGGAAAAGTTAGGGGGGGGCAAAGCATTGGCCAGCCCCCTTCCGTCCGCCACTCCACACAAATAAGTTAAATGATTGATTGGGCAAATTCGAAATACATTATTGAGCTAATATACCATTTTCCCAAAATTAAATTGAGGAGCCATATTTATTTTTTTGTAAAAATTATCTACCAGTTAATTTGAAACTAAAAACTGACAACAAACATCACTTAAATTCCCTACCTATGCATATGATAAGCATCATATGGAGGTAGTCACTTATTAATAAACAAAAACTACAACAAAACAACGAACGCATTATTATTTTCTAGAAAATTATTTAGACAAATTTATCCATTATATTTTCATAATCAATATTTTCAAAGAATTTTTTTTCAATTGAATCAAAGTAAAAATGTTTAATCTCTTAAAACACGGTATAGATTGCAAATAATATTTTAAAAATTTTACTTTTGAAAAACTTATTTCCGTTGATGTAACAATAATAAGAACAATCAACAATATTTTGTATAGTAGACAAGAAACTAATAAGTTTTTATAATTAGAAACTTATTATTTTGTTACTTTTATTATCTTCATTTGGAAATTTTTTGTAACAATTTAGTTTATTGTAAATCATCACCATCAATGTTACCATTTTGTAACCTCTCAAAGATTTTTGCATGTTGCATTTGGTTCGTTAGTATTCAACGACTTTAATTAATATGTAATGAATAAAAAACCAAAAAATGCCATCATACTAATTGTATTGCTCAAACCTTCACTCTAATGAACCAACGTCCTGATCAACTATATACAAAAAATATTGAACCTTTAATGATTCTTGAAATGAAAGTTTTTGTACTAATACCAATAACTCGTTGTCGCTCTTGTCAAAATGTTTTTTTCTCAATTTTTTGTAAACAAATATTGCATCAATTCCTCAATCAGAAATTATAGCTCTCAAACTTACGCTTTCGATAATGGCATGGATATGTAAATCTATTTATATTGGTATCTAAATTTCTAAGTTATATCAATAATATATTTAACAAAATAATTTTAATTATTAATCAAACATGAATTAGGTTATTAGTATACAACTATAATTATAATGAATGTATTATTGTTTTTGTCTTCTAAGTTTTTTGTAATATGACATTAAAAAAAAAACGCTCAAAGACCATTTATGCTAGGAGGCTCCGTACGACCACACCATCCACATGCCTTCTGAGCAACAACTGCTTTTATTATGTTTATTTTTTAGTGATTAAACATTTATCAAAAGTTATACAGGTTATATACTTTTGATTAAACGAAATAAAATAATTGACTTAAAATGACATCTCTATATTTCCTTTTTTTTAAACTCCTTTTGAAATTTCGTTATATTTTTATTTTGTTTGGATTTTGTATTTTTTAAAAGGAACAAATAATATAATTTACTTAAAAATAAACGTATCAGACGACAAAAATTTAACCCCTGCTACACAACAAAGAAAAATATTCTTTACAAAATGATGATTTATTTTATTATAAAAGTAATAACGGGTTACTCTACAGTCTATTCGCATAATAAAAATTCCCTCTGGTTACTGCCAGTAACAAGACTGGAAGGTAGGGCCTTGGGCCCTTGGCAATTTGCAATTGGCATCGCATCTTCCAGTTGTTTGGATCTGAGATAAGCCCACTTTGTCCCTATTTCAGTTACGGAGCAAAGTTCTAATTTTGTCCTCATATATAGAAAAAGAATTCAAAATATTTTAACAAAATAACAATCACCATTCCATAAACATGGTAAAAATACTAAAAGGACCCGCAAAACACCTTTTTAGTTATAGAAATATTATAATATATTCAATATAATCATAAAAAATATGGTATTACATCAATTATCTAATTTTAAAAACTTTTATTTTCAGTCGGTTATTAGCATAATAGCAACTTATTAACATTTTTGACCATTCAATCAGCAATCTTTTGCCTCTTAACTTTCTAACATTTGAAACCATAACATAACAAATACTAAAATCATCTATAGAATAATAGATCAAATTACCTGATACAAAATTACAACTACCATCCCTTAAGTTAACCCTAATTACAAAACCTAAAACATACATATTTCCTCCACTTATAACCAAAAGTCTACAACATCCCAAGAGTATCCAAAAAACAAAGAGCAACTTCTAACATCCAAAAAATCAACCTTTCAAGAACAAAGTCTACTCTTTAATCCATACTCCTACTCTCGAGTCAAATCCCCCTAAAATTAGGTCAACCTAACTCACTGCAATTTGATCCGGTCAAGGCTATCCGATACAATCCGCATCTTGGGTCGAACCTCCGGGTCAATTTCAGTACAATTAAGCGCGATATGAAATGCAGCCACCACTTGTTTCTTAGCATACACTTCTTGTAAAAGCACCGGGTCAATAATCTCAGACAACGGTCTTTCCTCTCGAAACACTTTCCTCACAAACCCCTCCAACCCTTTCCCATCGTTATCGAGCCCGACTCCATCTGGGGCCCGGCCCGTTAACATTTCCAACAACACAATCCCAAAAGAGTAGACATCACATTTCGGGCCAACTTTCTGGCCTGAAATTCGGGCTTCTGGAGCCACATAATAATTTGATGAAAAAGAGCTTTTTGAGCTAGTGAATGAAAGTTGGCTCGACCCGCTTAGCTTTCGAGAAGTGGATTTTGTGATGGAGGTGGTTACTAAACGGGTCAACCCGAACCCGGATATGAAAGGCTGTAAATCTTCATCGAGAAGGATTTTTGATGATTTTATGTTCCCGTGTACGTGTTTTCGTGGGCTGCATTCGTGGATGTGGGCCAGACCCCTTGCGGTTCCTTGAGCAATTTTGAGCCTTGAGGCCCATGACAATGACGGCAACGGGTTCGCGGGCCCACCTACATCTTATACCCGAATATACAATTAGACAGAATGTCATAGGTAACCTTAAAGTTTATACAAGTAATAAAATAAAAGATAGTTCTAGAATACTTTTATTTTTGCACTTTTTGTAAGAATGATAGTTGTTTTTTTATGAATTTTATGTGGTAAGGTACAAGTTCCACTACATGATGTGTGTACAACAAGTGGTACTTACCATTTTAGCTGTTGTGTCTCTTTCAAACTGTGAATGTGGTGGTTCACATGCCCATAATTTACCATCATTTCAAAAGGGGTCCAATTTTATGTCAATCAAATCACCTAATTATTCCTACCAAATAAACACTAGAAGGTGCAATTTGAAATGGTGTTATTCAGACTCTTTATTTATCATACAGTATTAACAAATTTGGCTATAAAAAACATATCAAATGTTTTAAAATTCATTCAAAACTATACTTCTGTCTTTACAAAATAAATGATATATGTACAACAGTTGTGTCTTGTCTAGCTCTTATATAGTGTAGTACATTTTTGGCATTGAGAGCATTATTCCACTTAGTAAAATACCATATAAACTGCAAACAAGTTCATAAAAGAACAACATTGTCTATCCTAATTTACCCAAACAAGATGCACCAAATCTTTTATTTCTTATTGGTCAATTAAGTAAAATCACAATTAATATATTATTTATCTATAATTGTTGGATAGAAGATAGGGTACTTACCATGAAGTGCAGAGTACAAGCTCCCATTGCTGACAAAATCTGAAATCAAGAGCTTTTCATCATTTGCATAGTAATAAGCTCTTAACCTAACTATGTTAGGGTGTTGAACCCTCCCTATGGTTTCTACCTCCGCCTCAAACTCCTTAAGCCGCCATGTGCCGTCGCCTTCGCTCAACCGTCTCACGGCAACCACCGCACCCACCGCCGCACCGGAACCACGTCCGGCGACGACCTTGTAGACTATCCCTGTTTTGCTCTTTCCCACCACATAAGCTGATGCCCTCAGTAAATCCTCTAATTCCAAACCAAACCCTTCATCCATTACTACGAATTTACCATCTTGTCCTTCTTCTTCCTTCGTTATCACTGTAATCTGTTCGTTCTCCTGTTTTTCTTTTTGCCCTAATTTGGCCTCGCGAGACCTCCATTTTTTCCGGTAAACCCACATGGAGAAAAACATTATCCCGATAACTACGGATACGCCGGAGATTAAAGGTACTGTAACAGACCCAGAACTGTCATTGGTTTTGCCTGGTAAAGCGACTGAAGAACCCGGGTCTTTGGGGGTATCCGGATTGGACAAAACCCTAGGGTTCTGAGCTTCCGGATCAGAGCACTGTGTTTCTAATGGAAACCCACATAAAAATGGATTTCCGTTGAATGCCGTTGGCCCTTGGTTAAGCAGAGAGCCTACGAGTGGTATTTTTCCGGTGAGGTTATTATGACGGAGGTCTAGACTAACCATTACCTGAAACAACCCATACGACGCCGGAATCTCACCGGATAACTGATTGTAGGACAGATTAAGCGTACCGGAGAGGGTTGTGAGGTTGCTGAGAGACTCCGGCAGAGACCCGTTTAAGAAATTTGAAGATAGATCCAAAATCGTGAGAAACTTGAGAGTTGTGATTTTCTCCGGGATTGGTCCAGTGAGATAGTTGTGGGAGAGGTCTATAGAGAGTAGATTGGTGGCATTGAAGAGATGATCCGGGATGGGTTTGGAGAAGTTGTTGTTAGAGAGGGAGAGGTGGCGGAGGTAGACGATTGCACCGAGCTCCGATGGAAGGTAGCCAGTGAGATTCTTATTGGGTAGAAAAATGCTAGTGACACGGTGGTCGGAGTTGCAGGCGACGCCAGTCCAGCGGCACGGCGTTAAATCTGTCTCCTTCCAGGTGGTGAGTGATTTAGTAGGATCATCTGTGACGGCGGCCTTGAGTGCCAGCAGTGAAAGCCCATCGGAGTTCAATGAAGACGAAACAGAAAAACAGATTAAAAGAAAGAAGAGATGAATTTTGATGGGAATCATGGCGTTGGATTCAACTGATGATCATCGATTCATAATGCAACGAGGGGTTACGATGAATCGGAGGAAGATGATGGTAGAAGAGTGTGTATCTGAGAAATTTGAATTTATTGGTGGATTAATCGAGGTTGGTGGTGAAGTAACATGGGGTTTAAGAAGTTTTTGAATTTTAATGGTTTTCTGGTGTTTATAAAGAACATTGGGATAAGTGGCAACACTTCACTTAGATCCTAAACGTTTACTGTAACTCCATACAAACCCCTTGATTATAAAAACTATCAAAACTACCCCTCTAATGTTAGGAAACCACATGATAGCTGCTCTCATATATCTAAATAAAGTCAAGATAATTTATCTTTTGTCAAAACAATAATATTTTGGACATTGAACAAACCTCAACATAAGTAGTCGTGCATCTACGAGAAACATTAATAAGTAGTCGTGTATATTTGCAAATAGAGAAAAATGGAGGGGGTCTAGATGAACATATAGAGTGGATGTCTTCTTATGTAGGTGTTTAAGTGATCGCGTCGTTAACGTTAAAACTAAAACAGATGACAAAAAAAATGGATCTACTTTTTTTAAATATCCTTAAGAATAGAAATTAGAGACTAAAACTGCTTGAATATGCACGTATATTTTAGATATTCGAAATCAAATATTATTTAGAGAGCAAAAACAAAAAACGTAATTAAAGTATTTTGTAATTCGACACATGTATTGAAAAAACGCAAAACAAAGGATATATACTATTTCTTCATTGAAAACTCGTCAATGAAGTCTCATCTTTCCAATCCTTGACTTTATGAGCATTTATTTGAAAGTACTTTACTTTTATGAACAAAAATATTCACTTAAAAATAAATAATTAGAAAAATATTAGTATTTAAAATTTATTTTTACTTTTAACAAAATCTATCACTTATTTATCCTATCATATTGAATAATTTTCCATATATCTTTTAAGTTATTTTTATATTTTTCATTAGTTTATCGGTTAATATTTATTTAAAATTACCTTTTATGAGTTGACAACTAGTTTTTCACGTATTATTTAGCTTTTCATCTACAAAACATAATCATAATTGCATAACTTTTAAGAAACCAAAGACATTGACCCCGAAAACGTTTATTTAAGGGCATTGTTGGACATTTTTCATCAAAGATTTATATGAAAAGAGTTATCAACAAAATCCCATGAATTCAAATAATTAAAATTTAGAAACTGATTAAAGTTGGAACCAACAACATTGACTTTTTAACATAGGGTTGCCCCGATATCTTTTACAAAAAATACAATTAAGATATGTATGATATGAACTCGAACGTTATAAAGCTAGTCAGACAACTAATTGACTAGAAAATTTTGAAAAATATAAATGTTTGATTTTGTGTTGGAAAAAAGCCAATGAAAAGGACAAGAGAAACCATGCTTTTCAGTTTCCACTTGAATTCTTATGAAGTACGACCCACCAAAAAGCATGACACGAGTACGCTACAATGCCAATAAGCATGGGCTTTCAAACCTTTTTATAATGTGTTGGGTTCGAGATCAATTTAGTTTACTGTGTGTAAGTTTTTATAAAACTTAGACATATGGGTTTTCATTTTATCTTTTATTCATGGTGTTTGATATTTGTTCTTCGGAGTTTTCATCGTCTTTGTTTTTAACCAAATTAGGTTAAATAATAAATACCATGGCAAGATAGTGGAAGGAACTAGCAGGTTCCATCATCTATTAATATAGTATTATTATAAGAGTAAATTAGTTTCCGGTGAAGTCGTTGAATTAATTCACCAACATTTTGTTATATTTACGGTGATAGATTATTTTATCAAACCTAAATCAAAACATATGTGGTAGAATTGGGAGTAGAACTTACAAAAAGAGACGTATCCGTAACACATTGAGTAAACCCAAAAGACAATAGTGCCATGGATAGCTTGGCATATCATGCTCGGTAAGCTTGTTTAAGTTCATACAAAAACTTTTTGAGTAAGCACTCATGATAAGGAAAAGTTTGATCCACAAAACTAGCCGGTTTATCCATGTAAATTGTTTCAACAAGTCCTCCATGTAAAAACACATTATTTACATCAACTTGCCTAATATGGTATCCTTGTGAATGCAATAGAAAGAAATAGACAAATAGTTGAGGGTTTACCAACTAGACTAAGAGGTTGTTTGATAGTGGCTAACTGTGTTAGAGTTGACTGGGTTAGTCGTTAGAAGTTCTGACCGAGTTAAATTCTGACTGAAACTTGTTGTTTGATTTTACATCTGATCAACTATGCAAAATGACTATATTACCCTCAAACAACATTTTTTATAATAATTCCTTTATTATTTACCATTTAATTTATCCATTGCAGTTTTACCCAACACATAAATATATAAAAAACAACATCAATATCCAAACACCATGTGAATTCATGGACAAATTGGACAATTGTTAACCATTCAAGCAGCCAATAAAAAAATGACATCGCTTTGGTTATTTGGATACAAATTCTTGAATACTTTCAAGGACAACTTGGATAATTGCTAACCATTCAAAGAGCCAACTAATTTTTATGACAACTGCAAGTGTTCTTCCATCATCTATTGTCCCTTCCAGCAAAAAAAAATCACTATGTGTTGATATAGAGGGATCCCTTCTTTGTCCTTTAAAATTCAATTACTAATTAAACCACAAAACTAAAATAGGAGATCAAATCACATATATACAAAAGAGAAAGACAAACCACAGTCCATATAGCAAATAGATTCAGAACACCAAGTTCAATACAAATATCACACAATTACTCTCTGTTTATAACATGATTTACAAGAAAATATATATCGATGATTATGAGCAAAAAAATGGTGAAAAACTGAGATTTATCTACCAATCATTCATCAATAATGAAGTTACAAATAAGAAAACACAGATATATCAATGATTTAACAACTCAATAATCGAAAACGTTTGAAATTAAGAACCAAATAAGAAAACACATATATCTCAAATCAAATTATCGAACAACAACATAAAAAAGCCTAAAAATAGTCATTTTTTACCTGATTCATTGAAAAGAAGAAGAAAATGTACCTAATGCGAAGAAGAAAGTGAAAATTGCAGAAAAAAACATTCCTCAAGCAGAAATTGCAGAACTCACGAAACCTCTACCAAAATCAATCTTTGTTTCCTCTTGCTCTGGAATGATCGGTGGATATGATTTTCCAGTGTCTAAGATCGGAGGTTGAAGGAGAAGAAGGGTGCCAGAGAGCTAAACTGAACACAATTGTTACCTTCACTTTCTCTTTAGAATCGGATGATTTAGGCAAATTGGGAGACGATTGCGTGATCGATTGAAGGAGACGAGGGCAAGGTGTGTCATTTGGGGCCGACTAAAGGCCAAAACTCAGTCAGGAGGTTTTGAGATGAGGACCGAATCCTCAAATTTTTTTGGACTGAGTCCCTTCTTTGGACCAAGTCCGACGGTGAAAAACCCAAATCAAACACACCAACTTCTGACTGAGGACCGAGTCCCTCCTTTTGACTGGGTTAGAATCGATTTCAAACAACCCCTAAAAGTCTCAGTATAATCCACTCCCTCTGAAAATCCTTTCACAACAATACAAGCTTTGTATCGACAAACTGAACCATATGATTATGCTTGATCGCGTCCACCAATTTGCAACCCACAAAAATTGTATTAAGAGGTCTCAATACTTTACCTATGTCCGATTAACATTTAGATCATTCATTTCAAGTTGCATTACTTCCCACAATCACTACAACAAAATGAAGCTAATGCAACTCCGGTAAAAAGTTGCATTAGGCCTTAAAAAAGTTGCATAAAGCCTAGTAACTTTTTACCAAAGGTTGCATTAGGTAAAGTTGCGTTAGACCTAAAACAACTTTTTTCTTGGAAAATTCAACCCTTTCTGAAATAGTTGCAAATCATTTTGTATGCAACCTTTTTTAAATGCAACCTTCATTATGAAAAAGCAACTTTTTTATGCTTATATGCAACTTTTTTTTACAATTAGATGCAACTGTTTTAACTGTTTTAGTTAGGAAAGTGCAACTTTTTTAATAAGCAATTGCAACCTTTATTATATTTCTAGTAAAGAGTTCCAACCTTTCTCTATGGTATATGTATGCAATCATTTTTTTTGTCTCTAATTGCAAAAAAAATGCAGCCTTGTTTACAGTCAAAAGCAAATTTATTTTTGTGACTATTCTAATGCTAATGCTACATCTTTTTTCTAGTCATGTAGATGCTACATATGTTTTACTACATTGCTATGGATATTCATTACTACTAAAATTATACCATAAAAATAATAACATAAATATCTTATATAATTTCATGGTGTCCTTTGACATGTCTAAATTCAAAATAACAACCATAAATCAAAGTCAACAAAAAGTTCTCAACTATAATAAAAAAAAGTATGAAAAACATCCAAGACATGTACTAAACAAAGAAGATAAATTATATTAGCAACTATTGACCTTCTGGAGGTTGTTGTTCCATAAACTTCCGCATCATGACTTCAAAGTTTTCTCTTTGGTTATTACTATCTATTTTCATAGCTTCTAATTCGGCATGTTTTTTCATGGTCCTCATGAATCTCTTTTCGTATTTCAATCAATTGATTTCTTTCAACTTCACTTGCTGTGAATGATTCCATAAGTCCTGCCGGAATCATGTATGATGCATAACCACCTCCCACTTTTTTTTATTAATTTATTACTAATGCCTCTACCATAAAGTCGACGATATCCATCATTATCTTTGTTCATCACGATCATATAAGGATTTATGGCACCACTTTTATCTTCTAGAGGTTTTTATTTCTTCATTTGCGCCTTCAAGATTATTAAAAAATCAATAGGATAATATTGCTAAAAAATATGTTGTCAAAAAAGTTGTTTATAACGTATCATCATAGCATGTAACTTGATATAAAATCATAGCATGACATTCATCATATAATTATGTAAGAAATACATAAAGCATGCACATAGACTTAAAAAATATATATATAATCTTCTTTAGGGATGTGTGCTCAGAAAAATCATGTGTACTCACCATAGCTTATTGACTTCTTTCTCCTACTTCAAATCTTGAGGATCTTGAAGGCATCAAGACAATCC